TTTTATTTGAGAATATTTTTTTACGGAAAAAATAGTTGGTACTATATTTACAAAGTATTTGCAAAACCTTTAGTAAAAAAATAAAATAAAATATATTTTAATTAAGAAAATAAATCTCTCTCTGTAATTACGTTTTTCACTTTCTTATGGGAATAATTAATATTTAATAAAATGTTTGGGATTTATAGAAATCAAAAGTAATATTCCGTTTGATTGTGAAATAGTTTCCCATAAGTCATAGTAAAACGTTAACTAAAACCCTATCCACTAATTAGTATATTTTAAATAATATATTTCGTAAAATGTATGGAATATACAGTATATAGACATACAGTACGTGTGAATCGATTTATAAAAACTATTAATAATAATCTTTATACAATATTTAGTGAATATAAATAAAAGCACTGAAAAACAGAAGTAATATATCTCTCCAGGAGTCTCTTTCTCTCTCTCTCTCTCTCTCTCTCTCTCTCTCTCTCTCTCTACACGTTAACCCATAAACAATTGTAGGCTTATATAATATACAGAATATTCTGTATATTTCGCAAACACAGACAGCAAATGGACACAAAAAATTGATTTTCTCGCAGAAAATACATACAAATAATAAAAATACATATAAAATACTTCTATAAATATATTGTATGTTTCGTTCAAAATGAGTTCAAGTCTTCAAAACAGCGAGTTTTTAGTATAAAAATGCATTTTACAGTATACTTAGATTTAGGACTCTTTTCCTAAACAAAAACTACAGAATATTCTGTGCTTTATATATAAGTATAGATATGTAAATTCTCTGTTAATGGTAGATATATTCTTGTTATATATTTAGAAAATAACTTTATGTTTTAGTATTTGTTTATACAGTCAGTCGTATTGATGTATAAGTATTTTCAGTACTTTTAAAGTGGGAGTTATATTCAGTATTGTATTTATTATACGTGTATTAAATATGTATATGAATTCTTGAACATTGAATATTCAAATGTTGTGTATTTTGTAAGAAAATAAATGAAGAATTTTCTGTTTAGCTTTATAGATTTCAAAACTTATTTTGAAATATAATGCTCTCTCTCTCTCTCTCTCTCTCTCTCTCTCTCTCNCAAGAAGTTATATATATTTTTGTCGTTGAAATCTCAATGTGTTTAAAAATATTGTTAAAATAAATTTCATTTTTATCGCCAAAAATTGATTTTTCAATTCATTTACGTCTGGAAATAGAAATCAATATTTATTATTCTCTCAATTTTCTCTCTCTCTCTCTCTGACATTATATTATAATAAAATATTGATTTGTGAAAAATGTAAATATTATTTGTTTAATGTATTTATATATTATTTAAAATCACAAAAAATAAATTCAACTCAAAGTGAACAGTGATTGACATCGATATTAATGTTAAGGATTTTTATTAATCAAACGTCTAGTGATTGGCATAAAAATGTAATAGAAGTTTGAAAATTGTTTTATTTATTTTCAGCAAAAATTTAGATATACTTTTGGCCCTAAAACTGAAAATATAATTTATAATGTATTTTGTGTTTTCCATCACAACAGCAAAAAACAAGATAAATCTCTTCAAAAGATTAAATCATAAAATTGCAATCTTTAGGCAAAATAGCAAAATATATATAAAAATATTTTTAGTTTTGGTTTAAATATGTAAAAGATTTCTCTTTCAATATATGTTTAGTAATAAAAATACTTTTTAAGTTTAACTTTACATTTACTATCAGAATATTCTGCGTCTAAATAAATATGTTTATATTAGAATAGTTTAATTTTCATAAGTATTTTGAGAGACTTTATACATATATTTTATTTTTATATTTATAAATCTTATAAAAAATTTAATATTAGTTTACTTCTGTTTGAATATTCAAGTATTTATTTGGTTTAATATTATAGAATGTTTCTATTTATATAAAATATTCAATCAATGTAATTAAATAAATTAAAATATGTTTATTATGATGATAATACTGGGAAATTATATTTAATCTAGTTAATCAGTAATGTATTAGTATTAATAAAACATCTATTGCTTAATAGAATGTCTATTTATAGCACCAAATTTGATCAATCTTTATGTTATGTAACTTTATTGTATAACTATCAACACCCATAACTTTCTGCCTGATACTATTAATACACATATGCATTATTAATAGAGAAAACTAATATGAGAAAGAGCGAGAGAGAGAGAGAGAGAGAGAGAGAGAGAGAATTAAAATGGTAATTATTGGGAGTACTGTAATATTATAATAATTAAATATTTGTGTTGTAAAGTTAGTCAGATTTATAATTGGTCAATTTGATTAAATAAATAGAAACTGTAAATTTTATATTAATAAAATTTTGTTAATATAAAATATTTCAAAAGTATTTTTAAATTGGGTAAAGGCACATGTTTTAATTACTTAATTACTATAACATTTAACAAGGTAAATTAATTTTACACCATGATATAATTTTGAATATTTTTCTTATCTTTTTATAAATGAGATTTTCCAAAGTCAAAGGAAATGGGACTTTAGTTCAAATTTTTTCTCCATAATAACCAATCGATTAATCAATTCAACAAATACTGAATTTTTATAATAAAAATAATATATCAGATATGAATCCGTATAGAAAATGGAAAACATTGGTCCATATATTTTACTGTTTGCTCTTAAAGTATTTATAGATTACATAATAAGAAACTTATTTAATATATTGAAAAATTGCATATATTTTCCAATTCAGTAAATAATTATAAATGAAATCCCAATAAATTCTAGAAATATAAGTTTCTATGCAAAAAAACAGGTTTAAACAGAAACTATTGGCAATATATAACAATAACTTAAGTAAATTTATAAACTCTATGCAAGAAGTTATATATATTTTTGTCGTTGAAATCTCAATGTGTTTAAAAATATTGTTAAAATAAATTTCATTTTTATCGCCAAAAATTGATTTTTCAATTCATTTACGTCTGGAAATAGAAATCAATATTTATTATTCTCTCAATTTTCTCTCTCTCTCTCTCTCTCTCTCTTTCGTAAAACCCTTTGATATACTATTTCAATGCAGAATATTCTGTACCAAAAAATATTTCATATGAGTAATTCTTGGCCAAAATTTTTCACAAGCTTTCTTAAAACCAAATTGATTAAAATATCGAGAGAGAGAGAGAGAGAGAGAGAAAATTGAGAGAATAATAAATATTGATTTCTATTTCCAGACGTAAATGAATTGAAAAATCAATTTTTGGCGATAAAAATGAAATTTATTTTAACAATNAAACATCTATTGCTTAATAGAATGTCTATTTATAGCACCAAATTTGATCAATCTTTATGTTATGTAACTTTATTGTATAACTATCAACACCCATAACTTTCTGCCTGATACTATTAATACACATATGCATTATTAATAGAGAAAACTAATATGAGAAAGAGCGAGAGAGAGAGAGAGAGAGAGAGAGAGAGAGAGAGAGCTTACAACCTACATCGTTTTTAATTATTTCATACCATATTTCACTTTCTTCTCATTATGATTACACACATAAAAATGTTGTCTTATATAAACATTTACTAAAATAATATATTAAATTAAGTTATAATTTAATTAAATACTAAACACTTTGCACAGAAATACATAGCATAGCTTTCGCTAAGAAATATATTAAATTAATCAATGTCATTTTACCATCTTAGCTTATACGAAAGCTAATTTCACTCATTTTAAACAATCTATCATAATTTCATGAATATCATTTTTGCCAATAATTTAATTTAAGTTAATTATAAACAGCATTTTGTTTCATACGAGTTACACATACCATACGTTTAAAACTCGAAAGAATATTTTATTTTTATTTTGATTAAAAGTGATGTCTTTATATACCGTATTAACCCGTATATAATCATAAACTCTTTATTATATCAAATACTGTGTCTGGGAGTCTATATTATATTTAATGAGATAGAAATTCAAAGCCATATAACAGTCTTTTAGGCACTAAATAAATAGTTCAACAAAATAGGGATAATATTTAATTCAATTTGAAATACGTTCAAAAAGGCCTCAAAACTCAATCTAATTACTTATACAATAATGAGATATATTGGGCACAAATATATTCTGTTGCCTTAGACAACATTCTTGCTCTCTCTCTCTCTCTCTCTCTCTCTCTCTCGATATTTTAATCGATTTGTTTTTAAGAAAACTTGTGAACATTTTTGACTAAGAATTACTTATGTGAAAGGGTTTCACACGAATGAGAAAGAGAGCGAGAGAGAGAGAGCGAGAGAGAGAGAGAGAGAGATAGAGAAAAAAAATAATAAATATTGATTTGTATTTTCAGACGTAAATGAATTGAAAAATCAATTTTTGGCGATAAAAATGAAATTTATTTTAACACTATTTTTAAACACATTAAGATTTCAACGACGAAAATATATATAACTTCTTTCATAGAGTTTATAAATTTAGTTAAGATATTGTTATATATGCCAATACTTTCTGTTTAAACCTGTGTTTTTGCAGAGAAACTTATATTTCCAGAATTTATTGGGATTTCATTTATAATTATTTACTGAATCGAAAAATATATGCAATTTTTCAATATATTAAATAAGTTTCTTATTATGTAATTTATAAATACTTTAAAAGCAAACAGTAAAATATATGGACCGATGTTTCCCATTTTCTATACGGATTCATATCTAATATATTATTTTTATCATAAAAATTCAGTATTTGTTGAATTGATTAATCGATTGGTTATTATGGATACAAATTTGAACTAAAGTCTAATTTGCTTTGACTCTGGAAAAATCTCACTGAAAAATGGATTAGAAAAATATTCAAAATTATATCTTGGTGTAAAATTAATTTACCTTGTTAAGTGTTATAGTAATTAAGTGATAAAATAAAGCAAATGCCATTAGTAAAGCATTAACATACGGTATATGTAGTAATAAACACAAAAATATAAAATATAATGTGTGGTATTACCACAAAAATATGTAAAAATATGTAAAGTGACCTTCGCCCTCGCCTTCGCCCAATTTAAAAATACTTTTGAAATATTTTATATTAAATAATTTTATTAGTATAAAATTTACAGTTTTTATTTATTTAATCAAATTGACCAATTATAAATCTGACTAACTTTAAAACACAAATATTTAATTATTATAATATTACAATACTCCTAATAATTACCATTTTAATTCTCTCTCTCTCTCTTAGAGAGAGAGAGAGAGAGAGAGAGAGAGAGAGTCGACGAAAGAGACAGTGAAATTGTCGAGAAAGTCCGTCCAATACATGTGACACTCGCTTTAAAAATCTTCATTCATTTAAATGGTGTAATGGAAACAACAGCTATGGTTAATACAAACGGCATTCACCGCAAACGGACTGTAGTTAACAATACCGACAATGAGTTTGTGTCCAACTATTGCCAAGTGATGAAGTTTACGGGTAAGTCATTGCCAACGATATTATTATTTAGCAGTTATACTGTATTTAATTTAATGTGATATTTCATGTGGATAAGTATCGATAAAAAACTATTTAATGTCTATTTTATCACTAGCTTTTAATTTAATGTCCAATTTTTAGCGTTAAAGTGCTATTTATTAATCAATATTTATGAGAAATTACTATTTTTATTATATGTTATATTTTATGTTACATTTAATGATATAATTTATTTTTCTCTAAAATTGTTGTAATTATCTAAATATTTAATCAATAATTATTACATGTGTGTAAAAATATATTTTGATGACAAGTATGACAATTGAATTCAATTATATGCCCACATATTATGGGGGCGCTAATTGTCAAGCTAGTTTAAGTATAATTTTTGCTAGATTATTTATAGAAGCCAATTCTTATGAATTTATTTTTAATATAAACTTACGTTAAAGAATATATTTAATGAAAATGAAATTATTGTAAAATTTAGATTTTATATAAAAATAATTGTCTTAAATTTTAATAGATTTTAACTTAAGAGACTAAAAATAGATTTCAAAAGAAAATATTTCTAATTTTAAAATAACATTTTGTAATACAATATAATTTTATGTTAAAATTGTAATTTATTTGGCATTTCAAGTTAATCGCAAAATTAAGACATTTAACTGGAGAGAGAGAGATTTCTCTTTTCTCCTTCTTTTTCGACCACTTTTTTGGTCTCATTTTTCTATTCATTATTTCATAACAAGAATTTTGATTTCTTTTATTTGCAATCGTTTTGAATAAATAGGTTTTAAATAATAAAAATATTTGTGAAAATAATATATAATTTTTTCGGTAATCAAATACTCTTTAACTAAATATAGTAATGAATTGAATGCTTATATCGTAATCATTGTCACACAGGAGGGGGCCTGACATCAGGTTCTCTCTCTCTCTCTCTCTCTCTAATAAAATTATAATAATAGGACAGTGAAGAGTGCGGACCCAATGAATGGTTAATACAATTGTGAACGTGGTGTTAAATTTCAGGGCAACTTTATGTAAAGAATAGGGTATTCAGTAAACATTGTATTAAGATTTCCATTGAATTCAATACACAAATACAAATAAATTGTTCATTGAATGCATTTCTCAATCGACTTATTCAGTGAATAAAGAGAGAGAAAAACTTGTTTTGAAATCTTATATATTTTGTTACACAAAGAGAGAGAGAGAGAGAGAGAGAGAGAGAGAGAGAAACAAAATTGTTGATAATTTCCAAGAAATCTTTTATAAAAATTGTGAACATAATCTGATTAATTATTTAAATCATAGTATTATTGAATTAAGTATAATATTAAATACAGTAAAACCCCGATTAATAATTAATTCATTGTTATATTTACAACATATAAATTTCAACTATCATTGAAATCGATGGCGCGTTGAATACCCACTGAAGACACGAAAGGCAACACAAAAGAGATGTATTTCCCGAAGAGTCTGGATCTGGAGAGGCCTAAGAGGTCGCGAACCAACTTTACGTTAAGACAATTGCGAGAATTGGAGAAATGTTTTGCCAAAAATCAATATTTGGTGGGAAAAGAGCGCAAATCTCTATCTAAACACCTGGATCTTTCAGAAGCACAGGTATGTCATGTCTGGGGGAGAGAGAGAGATAGAGAGAGAGAGAGAGAGAGAGAGAGAGAGAGAGAGAGAGAGGTTTTGAGATAATATTCATCTAATCTCTTCAGTCTCTTTGCCACTCATGTGTTGTCAACAAAAATATTATACATTTAGTGATAGACTTTGAGAGAGAAATGTAAAGAAATACTGAATTTCTCTTTTGAATAAAAGATTTTTGTCATTTCCATTGAAAATACTTATCTTTCGTTTCAATTATACAACACTTGACTCTAATATCGCTATTGAAAGCCATTTATACACTCTTTGTGTAGTTTTTTCTTGTATTCAAAACACAATTATTTTGTTAATAATATAATTTAATTGCAATTATTTCACAGTATTTGGGATTGAAATCCGTTATAATTAAGTCAAACAAATATACAGTATTTGAAATATTTTATATAAATAAATCAGTTAATATTTTTATAATTATAAATACTTCATATCTATTATATAACATTGCATTTTATAATCAATTTATTATTATCATTAGTTTTACCAAAAGTAAAACATTTTGTAAAATATTTTCCGTTAAAATTATTTTTTCAATAGTTTTATATCACTATTTCGTCGCAAAAAATACCAAAAATTAATTATTTTTATCTCTTAATTGGCTATAAAAATAAGACAATTTATAACCGCATGTAAAACAAGTTAATAAACCAATTATTATAATACAAAAAATAATTATTTGCTTACAGATTACAAGTTGTAAAACACAATTCAGTTACTATACAATTAATATCGGTTTAAAATTGTTTATAAAATAACTTTTTTTTAAATGCATAAAAATCAAAACCATATGACAAACCAATTACTGAATGTAAAACACAAATAAAATAATAAAATGTTTTTTCCATCGGAAAACAAAACTAAAAATGAAACCAAAAACTAAAATAATTATTAGATTTTATGTCGTGTCCGGCGGTTGTAGTCAGTACTCGAAGTACACTATAATATATAATGAACTGAAGTTTTATTTTTGTCTGTTGTTTAACATTGTTTTCAACAACTCTTGAAGATTATCATTGAATTCATATGCGATGTCTGCGATTGTCATGCAATCAATGACTTCTGTCAAAGACATCAAAGAGAAAAAGAGAGACAAAGACTATTGAGAGACAACTGATCAGATCATTAGACGATGTCAACCAATAGTCAGTGGTTTTGTTTAAACACAACACTAAAAATATATCACAAAAATTCACAACACTTTCAGACAACTGTTCCCTCAACGAGAGTAATGGTGAGTTCGGGTCTGGCCTTACGCTCGGCCATCACCGACACATACATCTCGCGCACAGACATCAGCGCACCGGTGAAGAAGAGACAGTTGACAATCATTATCCACACGGAGTGGGTGTAGAGCACTAGCATTGCGCTCAGGAGTACTGTCATCGCCGAACACGTGACAAATATCAGGCATATAATGAACAGCCGACGAAGAAGTGGACCCGACCGCAGGGCCTTCAGATACCCCGGTGTTTGTCTCTCAATGATCAGGTCGTACGGCGATTGGCAGAGTTCGCACCGGTCGTAGTGATGGTGCATATCGTCGCCGACTTTGGTCTGGATGTAACTCTTGAGACACGGTTTGCATGTGTAACCAACGGTTCCCTTACACTCGCATACCTTCAATAGGCTTGTATTGTTGCCGTAACAGATCCGACAGAATTTAGACATTGTTTTTGATGATTATTCTTTCGGTGATAATCCAATAGTGGTATTAGTTTTGGTGTTTGAAAAACATTTTGGTAAAAGTTTTTCTTTCAGTTAATTTGTTTGTTTTTGTCGGAATATTTTGATATTAATATACATATGGTTTTCACTTC